TGCTCGTGGCGGTGAGCTATTACGCGTTGTACTCGCCCAGCGAGACGATGGCGCAGTGTTGATCGCGAGACGCCATACGCGGCAGCAGCAGCTTTTTGTGATTTAAAAACACCATTATGATAATCGCGGATAGCAGATTGAATAGATTCTTCGCGATTGGACATATTAGGCACGTTGTGGTGGTGGTGGGCAGCTTCAAAATTCAAAAATAGTTGTTGTTGGTGGAGTGGTTGGGGTGGCCACTACTGGGTGTGGCCATTACTAGGTGTCCGAGCTTATATTAACTATAGTCAAGCTCGGGCATAGACTTTCCGGCCACATATGGTTCCCGGCCACCCCACCCAAAGTAGCCACCCAACTCAAAGTCGCGATTTCTTTAACAACAACTATTACATTTGCCACTCATTACACATAGAACTAAGAGTAAGAGCTGCTGCTTCTGCTGCTGCTTTTTCAGCTTTCTTCTCCGTTGAAATGCCTGCCTGTTGTGCCTGTAGAGCTGCTGCTCGGTCAATAGCAGCCTTAATACTTTCAACGTTACTAAAGCGTTCATTTGGATTAACTTGAACTCGTTTTCTTACACGAGCAGTCTTGCAGCTATCTAGTTGATGTCTAAGTTGTTGATTTTGGGCTTCGATTTGGGCAGCTCTAGTATTTGCCTCCGCGATAGCCTTACCTGCTTTGCCAAGCACGAGCCGGGTGCTTCGTGAGAGAGATTCTGACAGTGATAGCTGCTGTTGAGCCTCATGTAGAGCCTGTGAGCTCCGAGGGGTATTAAAGACTTGTTCTGGTAGATCTTGGGCCTGACAGGCAGCTGGCGGAGTAACTGGTCGGCCAGTCACTTGAGACGAGAGCAGCACAATGTCTGGGTTGTATGGACAGAGCCCAGCAGCCCTCCAGCCAGCTCTAATAATGCGCTCTGATAGCCCTTATGCTCTAGCTTTGTTGTACGATACAACGAAGCGCTCTTTCTTTACTAGTGCTGCGTCGTCAAGTGCTGAGAGAGCTTGAATCTGATCACGATAGCGAGACTTGAGTATAGATAATGGAGCTAGATCTAGCGGCTGTAGCAAGTGGGAGGCGTGCGCTGGGAGATATAGTAGTTGAATCTTATTTACTTTACAGAGCCACATGAAGTCGATAGGTGTATGAGAGCCATGGCCGTCAAGAAGGAGTAGTCGATATCCACCACTAGCAGACGTAGTATTTTGTATAAAGATGCGCTGTAGCCACTCTTACCCAATTGGATTTGATGTCCATCCATTCTCTGAGGTAGTGTATAACCGGTCTGGTGTACCAGTAGTGGGAGACCACGTAGTCTGAAGATGCTTGCCCTTAAAGACGACTAAGCACAGGAGCTTGGCGCCTGTGGCAGAGACGGTCTCAATAATCGATACCCACTCGCGATCCTCTGGAGACTTGACGTAAGCTTTCTTCTTTGAAGAGCTTGCGAGCACTCTAGCGTTCGTACATACCCCTAAGGCTACTCCATTCTCGTCCATATTCCATATATCTTCATACTGTATACCTAGCTCTATACGCGTACGCTTGAAGAGCTCAAGAAAAGCTTTTACAGTCTCGTAGTTGGCGCCAGTAGTACGTGCACTCTTGATCTTTCGGCCGACTATTGATGCGACGCGTGGGTTACGGGTGACGAAGTGAGATACCCATAGTTGTCCAAGTGGCTGGTAGTCGCCATTCATGTGTAGAATTCTAGTAGCCATTTCTCGGACGCATGGATGAGATGGCGGCTGTGCGCGTGAGTCTTCTTCTAGTATCCACTCTAAAAGAAATCGCTCTTGCTCTAGAGTCAATCGCTGCTGGTTTTGGTGAGCTATCGCGTGTGGTTGTTGGCCTGCTCGACGGCCTTGCAGCGTTGATCGCGGGATCTTATGCCAACTTGCAGCTGCCCGCTCACTCTTAAAGACATCAGAATTAAGATCTGCGATAGCATTTTGTATAGCAAGTTCCCGTGGATCCATATTGAAAGCGTGGTGTTGAAAATATCACAAATTTGAGTTGGGTGGCTACTTTGGGTGGGGTGGCCGGAAACCATATCTATGTGGCCGGAAAGTACCTAACCTCTAGTTATCCTTATTCTCACACTTTTGGTGTCCAGCTACATTGTCTTGAAGTTTCATGGCTGCTACGACTAATGTACACAGAACCCTTGGAGATCATGTGCAAGTGTTTTGCTATTTTCCGTATAGAAGTCTAGAACCCATCTAGAGATCTGCGCAATGCCAGTATCCATAGCCTCTCTGACTTCTTTATTTATGCGATTGCGAACGTACATATCGGCCTGGTGTTGTACGCCCTTGATTAATATGATTGGCTGTTGCGATGTGCTTTGCATCGGCCCATCGGGCCGAAAGACAGAAGACACAGACGCTGAGCGCCAGGGGTCAAACTCTCCATTGGTAAAGAGAATTCGTTTTCCTGTGCGGTTCCAACCTCCAGTTAACGCATTCATTGATTTGTCTGTTACCCCTGCTGCTATTCCATATGTAGCGTTACCTTCTTTAGGGAAAATGAGCCTGCATCGCCGTTCGTAATATACGGGATCTATGAGGCGACTAAATATGGTAGGTGTGTCGATTGGGGAGCCCCTATAAGATAACATATTAGTTTACATAATACGTGACAGCCATCCCTTGGTGTTGACACGGAAGGACTTACGTTTGCCAGAAGAAGAAATAATTGCAGGCTATCCAATCCCAAACTCGGTCATCATTCTGTACAGAAAGATCATGGAATGCTTGCGAAGACAAATTTACCGTGTCAAGGCATTGCACGCTGTTTCGGCCTGTCCAGCCGCTGTAGTTGGGCCTCTCGCAAACTTAAGGTCATTGTTAGTTATTGACAAATCAAGATCAAAGCGACCTCTCCCTCTATTCTCATTGCTTACGTCTAGGAAGATAAGATGTTTTAAACCAGTCAGCGTAATTGTCTAGCACCGTTTGGAAATTAGTTTTGCTGCCAAAATCGCGTCTACTACTAGAGAAGTTAGCATTCTCGATAGCATTACACATTTCAGAGAACTGAGTATGGGTATCGCTCGGCTGAATCAAAGTCCACCCAATAATAGGCTGTGACAAAGCATAGGCTGTATCCTCGAGGAGGCTCAGGTCCTGAAGGCCGAAACGTATCTTTAGCTCCTGTTTTTGTTCTGGTGAGCCAGATAAGAAAACGTTATCAACATGACTGATTATTGCCTCTAAGTTGGACCTGCAGCTCTGCGGCATTCCCTAGAGAATAGATCAGTACATATCTCATATTTTGCCAAATCAACCCAATGGCCCTAGACTTTGACCAACCTGTTGTGTAGGATAATTAAACTGCCAAAAATCCTGCATAGAGTTTACCGCAGCACCACTAGCATAGTAGGCCCAGAAAGTATTAGGGAACAGCTACAATAGTAAATGTATTAGCTTCAGATTCTCCAAGAAGGGCATTCATGTAATGATATACGTACTCTCTCTGTCCAGGCCACCAAAGTAGCCGAATAGGAGTTGCCAACCCATATCCACGGCTAAAAATAGTTAGAAAAAGAGTGTAGAAACACAATCTTCGAATATGTCAAGAATACTTACTGTCCGTAAGGGATGTGAATTTCCACTGAGATCGAAGGGAAGTTCAACTGTACGTGCGAAATGTACAAAATCGGCAAGGACTTGGTCGAGTGCAAGATACTGCAAGTTGGAAGTGGAGAGATTGTCAAAAGGTTGTGATTCTCCAAAATAACGATCTATCGACAACACCAGCACAGCGATATCAGTAATTGCTCGAGGCTGCCGATACGAAGAAAAAGAGTAAACACAATCCAAAAAAATCACATACGCTCAACTAGAACGACAGCTCCTCTAACTTCTTTAGCTATGAGGCCAGGCAAGGTTGTATCCGTTAGATAATATAGACGGTTCGTAGCTGGGTGTTGACCAGGTGTGTAAAAGATGATCTGTCCAGTCATCCTATAAGCAAGTATAGCAAACACACAGTAGGCTTAACTGTACATTTCATAACTTACTGGAGATCCTGGGCCACCCCAGTACGTAGTGTTGAACCAATACTTCTGAGAAAAGGTTCCTACTTCTGGATGTGTATGGTCTATAAGCTGCCGAAACACCCCACGGCCCGATAACAGACTTGTATTCTTCGGAACAACACTTGGCTTGAGTGATGGCAGAACTTCAGATAGCACTCCCAACACTACTTGCAAGTATAGGATAGGTATAAGTAGATAGCGAAGCATTTTCGTAACTTGGAAGGATTAGATATGCTTTGGACTCTCAGCAGGAGTGCTAGACAAAAAAATTTGATTAAGAAGAGCAGTTTCGGTCTGGACTTGGAATAAGGCGGATCAGAGAATAGGCCAACATATTATGCGCAGACGAACGAATTTTAAACGAATAAAGAAATAAAGAAATAAAGAAATAAAGAAATAAAGAAATAAAGAAATAAAGAAATAAAG